TGTTATGCTGCCATCATAAACATGCGTGTCCACAGCGGCCTCTCAGAGCTCCTCCAAACACAGAACCGCACTCTCTATTAGCTGAGGACTGACGCCTGAACACGGCTTCTGTTCTCCATCAGAAATTAGCTTTTTTATCATCACAGCAGTGTCACACCATCAGGCATGCTGAGACCCGGTTCCTTTGCTTAGATCATCCCTCATCAGAACAACACCAGGGAATCCTGACTTTTTCCCTCCTTAAAGTTAGAATAACAAGCTGGAGCAATGAACAAGAAAGAGAAATGAGCAGTTGAACACTACAGCGTCTAGGTCCATTTTTCAGTCTGTTGGTCTCCATGAAGCTCTCAGAAGTATTAATGATGCCTTCATGGGTCATGACAGCACTGGGTCACTCTGACTTTATTTCAGCACCTCACTTTAGACATGAAGCAAAATATCCTGGCTTTATTTAACAAGATGTGTAACGTTCCAGACAGATGACCCAAGTTTTCAGCCAGAGAGACAGCAGTGGAAGTTAAACAGTTTATTATGATTTCAAGACTTTAGGGGCCCACCTGCTGAGGACCAGAGATAAATATAAATGGAGATGTAGGTTAGTGGCTTGAAGAAGTCACTAACCTTTTCAGAGTCCTCCCTTTGGCAGCTTTAGCAGAGTGGACTGCTCCTTTAACAGATGTCATTTATACCCCCCACATTAAAAAAAAATGGAAGTTCAAAGCATTTAATATATTTTGTCATGGTTTAGCCTGATTGCTGACCTTAATTGTTCAATTAATTGACCTGCCTAATCCTGCCGGGTTCCTAATCATCACTCATCCTATCCACCTGCACTTGTTGCTTCATGTATGGCTTAGCCCAGCAATTGTGGCCAGATCATTATTTGATGTGTGTTGTATGTTTGTTATGTAAGTCTGAGTTATTTCCAAGGTTCGTGCCCCCCTTCCACGAGACCAGTGGGTTGAGAGGTTCTTAGTGTTTTAATTGTCTACTTGTCGTGTCCTGGCTCCTAGGTGAAGTACAGTATTAAGTCCCGCAAGCCTGGTTCCTAGGTGGAGACCAGTTTAAAGTTTTGCAGTTATCCTAGTACAATGTCTTGTCTCTATCCCTCTACTGCGGAGCCTGTCTGTCTGCATCTGAGTGTGTCTGCCTGAGCTCGCTTCTTAACTCATGGAGCTCTTGACCTTTCTAAGCTCTCTGTGGATTCCTGGAGGCTCTGTTCCTGTTCGGATTGGAACCCCTGACCAGGCTTCGGACTCCTGGATCCCAGAACGGTCCTGTTCTGAGCTGCTTCCCTGACCTGGATCAGTCTCCTGCCTGCTCAATGGAGTTGCTGCATTGGGGAAACTCTGGGCGGCTCTGCGCCACAGGTCATTTGGCAGTCCATCGATTGGATCCTGCCTTCCTCTGAGAGGATGGACTGATTTGTTAAACCAGGTAAGGGGCTCACACGGATAAACATCCTCCCTTAGATGATTGTTGTCACTTACCCTCAAGAGTGTCAGTAATTGATTGGTGCTCCGGGCCGGCACCCCACTGCAGCCATTGTGTTCCGCAGATCCACAGCTTCAACCCATTTTAACCCTTGGTTTATTAAACTTTTTGAACTTTCCCACTGTCTGTCTCACCTTGAATACTGGGTCCATCTGTCCCCCTTCAAGACATACTAGTATATGGTGCAATTATGCAATGTTTTGGTTTGGTGTTGTCATTGTGATACAGAGTCTGTGACATGATTGTCACATGATTGTAACAGACTCTGACATTAAGAGTTTTCTTAACAGTTCAGCTGTCTGATGGCTGCGGGGAATTACAACGAAGGCCAATGAAATTCTGTCATTTTAAGGCTGCCTGGTTACCACCAGACCTACCGGTAATCACATTTGTGTTTCAGATCAGAACGATTGTGTAATGCCACTGCGATCTCTGTGTAAGGATTGGACTTCCCATGCTAATGGCAGGGATTCGTTAGCAAACATTGCCCCCCTGTGGTACTTGTATGTTACTATTACAAGTTGTTGAGGACTGCCAAGGAACATCGTTTGTTCTAATTATAGCCCCGGCCTGTATACGAGTCCAGCCATTATTTACCTCCGACGACAGCGAGACCGGCCACTGTTAGAGTCCCGGCCACTCAAGCAATATAGGCCAATATTAGAGGATTTGCAGTATCTCTTATCTCTCCTAGCCTTCCTTTCACCCTTGCTAGGCTGAGGAAAGACATACTAATCTCCTGTTTTGAAAAGAGTTTTAGTCGGAGATTATCTGCAGACATTGGAGAACAGCATTGATTCGGTCAGTGTTCTGTGGTAACATTCAATGTTAGCCCATCCCTGCTACCCCTCTTACGTCCCCTAGCACACCGCTTCCTCCATCTGTCTTCTTGGCCTTGCCTGCTCCGTGAGTCCGGTGCTTTGTTTTCATCTGTCCTTAGCACTCCATTGCATTCTGAATAATCAAGTTCCACCGTGTTTAAAACATTTTGTGAGGGTAGCTCCAGCAGACGTTGGCAGTTGTAGATGCGGGATTGATGCCTGGTTTGTAGCATTCTAAATGGCATATTTTGTGGAATTGTTGAGGGGATTGTCCAAAGCTGTAATAGACCGCTGCCACCAGGCACAACCATGACGTACAAGACTACATGGAGCAATAAAGTCCAAGTCTGGAGGAGAACCATCCTCCTCATTGAGAGGTTCTGGTTCCAGAAAGAACCTTTACCATCATCTGTACTGAAATGACCCAACATGTTTCCAGTGGCGAACATGCTCTCCAAGACTAGTTTATTCTTTTTCAGGATCCCAGTTAACCAGGAGTTTCTAGAGACAGCAAAAATTGGGAGTGTAATGAAATGAGACTGTTAGTTTCCATTAAGTCTGAGAAATTTCACAACTAAATCAACAATTGTGGGCAAAAAATTGCTCAATCATTAGTTCAGTTTAGTTCCTTTAGTTGTGTCCTAAGTTTCATGTGAAGGAGTCAAACATGCTTGAACTGGAAACTAGATGGTGGACAGATGGGAAAGTCCAGAGAATAGAACTAGCTATCCACTAACTAAACACCCATCCACTATAGAAGTAACTGCAAAACTTGTTCTGTTTCCTCTTCAAATTAGGGATCAAACTGTTCAACTATTATTTAACTTAATTTTTGCGGAAGCATTTCTCTTTAACTTGAGTCTGACAGAAGTTTGTTATCCATTGGAAGATAATTTGGATCCTGTTGGAACGTATTGAGCTGCAGATCCGACCGAATCTCTGCAAAGCTTCTCAGCAGATATCTAATGTCTCTGACAGCCTAACTGTGGTACCAGGCTTCTTAAATCATTACTTGTCCAACCTGAGCAGCAGCTGATGGATACCAAAGAAAGCAGATGCCAGAGTGGTTCATGAATCCAGTCTGAGAAAAAGCAGAGCTGGGATCGGCTACAGAGTCCCTGTCACTGCTCCCTTTGGAGTTGGGACATCATGATTCATGCTGATTGCCTATACCTGCTGAATGGTTTTCTTACCCCACAGAGGCCAGCAGGCAGCATTCAGAGCCAGAGGTGTAGGGAGGAGTGGCTGAGGCTTTGGATAGCCTGGATTAAGATGAAAGAGAAGTGGCAGCAGGCTGCGCTGAGCCACAGGTTTTGATAACAGCGATTAGATCAGAGGAGCTACCAGAATGTCACCTCAGGCCAGAAGTCCAACGTTCAATATAGAGGAAAACCTGAATAATTCAACCCTTTATGACCTCAATGAACCTAATTGCTGTCAGGACTCCTGTCTGTGTGTTTGTTTTTGTGTGTGTGTCTCCCTTCCACCAACAGGAGGCGCCTGGTTCTGGTCCGCCTCCTCACACACCTGCTGACGGTTACCTCATTAACGGAGTGCTCTTAAGCTGCTGATTGCCACTACCTCAACGCCAGAGTGTTTGCCAGTTTTTGGTACTCTAGCCAAGCAGAGTTTTCACTGAGTAAGACTGAGTTCTTGTCTCCCTGAGTTTTAACTTTGTTTTTTGTCTTTTCCTCTCGGCAGGAAGTCATCCTGCAAACTGGACCTTTTCGGACCTCCTCTCCCAGGAGGGATCAACTGAGTCTTAAACTGAGCCAGGAGTTCAAACAGGAGGTTTGGATCCAGTCTCCTTTAGAGGACTTTGCAATTACTCTCTGAGCAAGGGAATCATCTTCACTACGACACGTTCAAGTACAGCAGGAAATCTGAGTGGCAATCAGCGTCTCCGTTCACCTTCACCGTCCGAATTCTGGGTAAACCCTGTTCCGCCCTCCGCTGAATCAGACAAACTCTGGAAAACCTACACACAGATTGGAGTCAAGGATCCTTCACTTCTCTGGAAACGTGAGTCTACAACCAGATCCTCTTCTTCAAATCTACGAATCAAATTTCCCACTGAGCCTGAACTAATAGCCTGTCTTCCCCTCACCTTCCAGTTCTGGCTGAGCAGCGTTCAGAAAAACTCTGCACCGAGCATAATCTCTTCAATAAAACCCGTTAAACTTTTCATCTGTGTCTCTCTGTTTGGTTTCACTGCATGTGGGTCAGAGCCTTAGATATAAACATGACAATTACATGACTGGACCCTTCATTGCATGTTTGCACAAACTCTTAGGAAAAGTCAACTTTCCTGTTAAATTAAACTAAGCCCAAAGAAAGAATAATCACACAGAGACTGAACCGTTCAGATGTCTCCTGCTGGTGAGTCACCTCCTTGGAATAACGACCCTGGATAATCCCAAAGGGACCACAGTTGAGAAGCTCAGAACCTCTGCATCCTGGACCGATAATGGGACATCTTTCTGATGGAAGTCAATGATAACCAAGCCTCATACAGCTGGAGATGCTCCAAAGGAAGATGGACAAACTAAACTCCACCAGTAGCAGCCCAGCAGCTTCTAAAAGGTCATTATTTGTCCTTTGGGTCATTGATGCTCAGTAAGATCTGAGCTTAGTGGCTCAGACAGACAGCCTGCTTCTTTCAGACTCATGCCTTCCTCCCTCTCCTTCCCTCTGGGGGCCGCTGCCCCTGAACCGGCCTAAAGCAGCAGCAGGATGTTCGCAGGCTCAGGCTGTGTGCAAGGAAACATGAGCAGGCGCAGATATTCAGAGTCCCGGGCCGAAAGCAGAGAAAAGCGGAGGAGGAGACGGCGGTCCGTTTAGGTTAGAGCTCAGAAACTCAGGCGGGGAACCTGTGAGCGGGGCATGGGCGGCTGGGAGCAGGATTATTGTTCAGCACAGCCGAGAGACGCAGGAGGGAGCCGGGAAAGGTAAGTGCCACAGATCCACTGACAGGAGAGGAAGAAGAGAAACAGCATTTAAGATGCTTCATCTCTGCTTCTACTGGATCCATTTGGGTCTGTTTCCAGTCCGAACCTCCTGCTGCTTTATATTCCCTGTTGTTTAGAGCCGCTTTAACTGAATTCAGGGGAATTTCTTCCACTAGAATAAATGGGACTTTCACCTCCACGGTCTCCGTGTCTCTCCGTGGGTTTTTATCGCAGCGCAGCAGTAAAGTGGACCTGGAACCTGTCGGTTCCGCTGTCCGCTCCGACTCATCCCACATTTCTTTATCAGCTGTTTGCGCTAATTAATGCGCATTGAGATGTGTGCAGAATGAAGCGCCTCTTTGCTGTAGAAGCAGGAGGAGTTTGCTCAAACACTGAATGGATCAACCGGTTCTGCTTCTGGAGCGTCAGAGCGCAGCTGTTCCACTCGCCTTGAACTCTGAAGCTACTGAATATGAAGGAGCTTAGATGGAGGATTTTGTTCTCATGATTCTCACCAACTAAATGTGATCTTTTCTGCCACAGGAGAAACTCGGGGACGCTGGGACAGAGTTTTCCCTCCTCACACCTTTTGGATCTGTGCGCAGCAGAGGGAGAGATCTGCGGAGCGAGCGGCCAAAGATGAACACCATTGTGTTTAACAAGCTGAGCAGCCAGGTCCTGTTTGAGGAGAAGGCGAAGGAGGTGGAAATGAGCAGCAGAAATTACCTGGAAGTCATCGACGGCCAACATCCAGATCTCCTCTGCAGCAGCCCGGCCATCAGAGACAGCCAGGCGGTCAGACACAGGCGGAGCGGGTATGTGAGGCTCTCTGTTCTGGTAGAGGCTGCTGCTCAGCATGTGTGGATGCGGAGCAGCTGGAGTGCGTGGAGAAACCCACGGGGGGAAATATCTGGGAGCCTTTTCAACCTGTTGGTCACTTGTTAGCTGGGCGAGAAAAAGGAAAACCCTCCTCAGATCTCTGGGATGATCTCTGCGGTTTGAGCACAAAAACATCTAAATCAGAGCGAAATGGAAAGGCTAGAAGAGTTTAAAACTAAAGTATCTTTTCAGTAAATATTTACTTTAAATGAATTATGAATAAATAAATGATTTAGATGGAAATTCTAATGTATCTCTGCGTAAAAACGCATTTGTGCCAAATTCGGCAAAAATAATTTCAAAGCTTTTCCGATTAGATTTCTGCTTATTGATGCTCTCTGTAATTTCTAAATCCTTTCTCAGGTTTTATTGCTAAACAATCTGACAGAGGAGATAATAAACCTTTACTGTTTCCCAAACTACTGCTGATTTAATGATCTCAGCTCAGCTTAGAGAGAAGAAGCAGCTTTCAGAGAGAAATTAGAGCTACAGCGGAGGCTCATTTTCATTCATCCATTTGTTAACAATGTTTAGATCCATTTGTTTTCTCAAACAAAAAACGATTTAATTAATTTTTTACAATAATAATTTGCATTTATCTGAAACGAAAAAAAAAATAATAATTTGCGCTTGAAGCTGCTTTATAAAGTTCAACGTAAAAACATAAAATAAAATGGATCTTTCATAATTTTGTTTTTAATTAATAAAAAATAATTCAGGATGTCAAATAAAATAAACTGTAAAATAAATCAAAAATAGGCCCCAGTTGAGTGGAACTCCACAGGAACAATAATTAGTTTATATTAAACTCTTTACTTCAAATGTTCTGATGGAGACTGTAAGTAAAAAGTGGGATTTATTGAGTGTTTATATTTTTTCAAATCCATCAGCTTTTAATTTTAACTCCATAAAATTAGTTTCATTAAGGATAAATTCAAACTGACGGTCGGCTGAACAAAGTCTGCACATTAATACATGTTGGCTCAGTGTTAATCAGTCAAAGGTGGATCTAAAAGTTTCCTTGAAAACTTTCTATCTCACTACCTGAATATATTTATTATTTGTTGGGGCTGCAGCGTATTCAGAGAAGATTGGATGATGATACTGTTGCTGTAAAGGTCAATAAAAACATTGATTATTCTGATTGATCCACATTTTCCAGCGGCTGGTTTTTCTTCCACATGAATCTATGTCCCTACCTCTCTCCATGAGCTCCACATCTCAGCCATTAAACATCTAGATCTGCTGTGGGCATCAAGGACAGATGGCCTCCATTTAAATGCTCCAATTTATTACTAATATATTGTTTATATGGAGAATAGCCAACACTGCACAAAAGCATCCTGTTTAAATATTACATCCAAGCGGCCCTTAGGCATTATTTTGAACAAACTGATACCGAATGATCATCATGATTCTATAATGTGCAGATCTACAGTTTGATAGAAAATGTATGTTTTTGTTTTAAAACAGAACCAAAAGTGAAGATTATTTGAAAACAGGTACAGTATTTATAATGCAAATGACAGAGTTAATAGATATTGGGGTAAAATTCTGACCACTAGATGGCAGCAAAGGGTTTCAAATAATCTCTGTGGTTTGTGTAGAATTTGCATCAACAGTCATTAGAGGTAATGGTCCCAATTTGTTTCCATTGATCCACCTTCAGCTCTCTGTGGGCTCTAGTTCTTCACAGAAACAACAAATCTGAACAGATCTGAGCTTGTTTGTGTGGAACAGGAAGCAGGTAGAAGAGCAGTGAATGTAAGGAGCGTCCTCAGAGAGAGAGCTGCAGGAAAAAATCTAAGATCCTGTGAAGGGAATGCCTCGTCTCAGGGGCAGCAGGGATATAAATGAAGAACATCTTCTAACAGAGCTCTGTAAGTTTGGATATTGTGTTTGAGAGAGAGAGAGTTTGAAATCCAGCGTTCCGGGCTCAGAGTGAAATGTGCTCCATGTGATTCAGACTGATCCAGATTACAAGGGAAATATTTGGAGAAGCAGAACCTCAGGCCCGCTTTGAGGTCCAGTTAAAATCTGTTCCATCTGCAGCCAGTGGAGCCTTTTTGGGAGATAAAGGGAGAAGCGGAGAGCAGCACCATGCTGACATCTACAGGTTCATAAAAGCTGGAGCTGCAGGTGAGAGTGAAGTAGACACGGCTCAGAAAATCTGCTGCAAAGAAGGATTCATTTCTTCCTCCTGTGGGTTCTGGATGTTTCACTCATTAATCTGAAGCCATTTTACATTTGGAATGAATTGATGTCATCTGTGCACTGAAATCCTAAGATGTTTCCAGTTATTTGCCTGCATTTAAACCTTTTCCCTGCTGGTAAACAGGGGTCGTCCCAGTGGCAGCAAAGTGCGGCACAAGCGCCAGGCCCTGCAGGACATGGCACGGCCGCTCAAGCAGTGGCTCTACAAGCACAGAGACAACCCCTACCCGACCAAGACGGAGAAAATCCTCCTGGCGCTCGGCTCGCAGATGACTCTGGTTCAGGTGAGCCGCTTTCAGTGGGAGGAAAAGAAAAGTCAGATCCTGCTTTTTAAACACACAGACATGAGTGTGATCAGGCTGCTGGAGTTTCCATTTTTCAGCTTGAAGTTGGCTTTTGCTTTTCCTGAACATTTAGCAGCAGCTCTGCAGGGGTGAAGTGTTATTTCCTCTGTTTTCCAGATCCTCCTGCAGCTTCTCTGCTCTCTGCTGTGTGTCTCAGTCTTTCACTTGATTGTTTCTCTAACCTTCAGTCAGCACTGAATGCATGTGTGTCTTTAAACCTGCAGCTGTGTGTGTGTATGTGTTCAGTAACATTTCATCACCAGGTCTCTGATCCGGCCTCTCAAAGTCTGCAGCTTTTTCAGGCTGCTGGCCGCGGTGCTTGATCTGCTTCTCCTTTCTGGAGCCGTTTGTTTAGTTGAGAGCGAGGCAGAGTGAGGAGGAAGGCTTTGTGCTGGACTCCAGGACGCTGTGACCCAAACACACACTGACACGCCTCTCACACGTTTGGGGCCAGATCACAGCAGTGGGGTCAGAAGGACAAGGATTTGTTGAAAATGTGTAAAAATAAATCCAATAAATAAATCATTTGTTTTACAAATGTTAAAATAAAACGGTAATAAATTAGTTTTAATTAGTTATTTAAGTTATTCGGATAAATTAAATAAAGAAACCATAAAACATTATTTTAGAAAAAACCCATATATCTATTTAGCATTAAAGGAGAATTCCGGTTTTTAGCACTTTTAGCCCATTTTCTGTAGTGTCCAGGATGAAATCAAATGATCGACACCAAAATTTTGACAATTGGTCCTGTCTCTGCTTTTTGGCTCATGCAGAATCCCCCCCTGGCTGCTTCAGAATGGCTTCCACAGTGCATGTCCCATAATGTCCTTAAAACAACCTTAAACGTTCTTTTTTTTAAATATGCTACTCACCGGGTCGTCAGCGCTGTTCAATGACGTTCCAAAAAAAGTTTCGTAAAGAAAAAACGTTCCTGTAGTGTTTTACTTAGCATTTTGTAAATCCCATTGAGTTCTGTTGGAATAGTCAATATTCCGCTGCCACCGGAAACGGAAATGGGGCCTGTTTATACAGTTGTAGTCTTTTCGCTTCACTCTGTGTACTCCGACGTTGAGAATCAAGAATCCACCTTTCGTATTACATTTTCAGAGTTTTTAAAAGTGTTTAACAGAGACGTTAGCACCACGACGTCGGAGTACACAGAGTGAAGCGAAAAGACTACAACTAAGCGTAAACAGGTCCCATTTCCGTTTCTGGTGGCAGGGGAATATTGACTATTCCAACAGAACTCAATGGGATTTACAAAATGCTAAATAAAACACTACAGGAACGTTTTTTCTTTACGAAACTTTTTTTGGAACGTCATTGAACAGCGCTGACGGCCCGGTGAGTAGCATATTTAAAAAAAAGAACGTTTAAGGTTGTTTTAAGGACATTATCGGACATGCACAATGGAAGCCATTCTAAAGCAGCCAGGGGGGGATTTTGCATGAGCCAAAAAGCAGAGACAGGACCAATTGTCAAAATTTTGGTGTCGATCATTCGATTTCATCCTGGACACTACAGAAAATGGGCTAAAAGTGTTAAAAACCGGAATTCTCCTTTAAAATCCTAATCAATAGTTTCAAATCTCAATCTTTTTGTCGTTTTACCTACTTTTCCGACTAAAGTGATGATTTGGTTCCAAAGTGTGAACATAAACTTAGAGGTGATCATGATGACTGACTGGAGACACTGGTGTCTTTGTCTTTCCACTGATTGCTGCTGAGAACAGCCCAGTTCTTCCACTGTTTAGTCCAGACAGGCCAACCTTAAGGCCGCCCGTGGTGTCCTACGCATCACTTCCTGTGTGTTTTTCCCTGGAAAGGCCGACCTGGCAGCAGGTGATAAACAGCAACTAAATCTGTCATGTTTTAGCAGCACAGTCAGCTTTGCTCCATGTAAATATTGTAAGTTGGAGCTGATAATCCAGGCCGTCTCTCCATGGTTCCTGAAATCCGTCTCTCTGTCTGCATGCTGTCATCTATGGGCTATAGACAGGCCACGGTTGGAAGAGCTGCATTATTTTTTTGTTAAGGCTCTCTGTGGTCTCGTCTCAACAGGCGGTCTGTCCTCCACCCTCCCTCTCCTCGCCTGCTCCCAATCCTCTTCTCCTCCCAGTCACGCTGGCCAACTGAATGCTGCTTTCTGCTGCTACGCCACAGCGCTGGACTGAAGAACGTGGGCTGGTCCTAGTTAATGAGAAACCTAATAGTAAAGAAGAGGATGTGAAAACTAAGTCCTCTAGCATAAGGACCCTGTCCCTGGCTGTTCATAAGCAGCTGGAAAAGTTCTTCCACTATAACATCTAATAGTCTCTCCTCCCAGTGAAAGGAAGAGGAGAGGCTCAAGTGTCTCTTTTATTGGATCTTAAGGACAGTGATGGAAAAACTGTCTTGTTGGAAGATGGCTGGACTCGTCCAGAATAAGCAGGATGGGGACGTGTGTCTCAGTCAGAGCTTTAGGTGATGAGATGATGCGTTCGCTGGCCGTCTGCCATTTGTTTCTACACAGCATTGATAGAAAAAAGATGCGCAGCTTCGAGTTTCTGCAGAACATCTGGGATGTTTCTCAAAGCTCAGTTTCAGAGCTGCAGCTAAACGGCAGCTTGACTCTGTCTCTGTGTTTTGTCTCGCTACTCATGCCATTGTTCTCGCTTAGACCCATGGCAGGCAGCTAGCAGATGTTTTCACTGAGGAAGACACATTTGCTCTGACTGTGGATGTGGAGGAGTGTGGATTCAAACATTAACATGTCTTCCTGTTTGTTGGGTGTTCACACTTCCTGCTTTGTCCCCCTCAGGTGTCGAACTGGTTTGCCAACGCCAGGAGACGCCTGAAGAACACTGTGAGGCAGCCGGACCTGAGCTGGGCACTCAGGATCAAACTCTACAACAAATACGTTCAGGGCAACGCAGAGAGGCTGAGTGTCAGCAGTGACGACAGCTGCTCCGAAGGTACGCATCACTTTACTGAAGTTCTTCCTTTAACGGGTTGCCCTTTGAGGAGCTGTAAGCTGGACTCCTCCATCAGAAGTTCTCCCTGATTCTACAAACTGAGGTGGATCTAACACGGTTGGGAGTCTCTCTGATCCCTTTGATAGAGACACATCAATGTTAAGCTGCAAACTGACACCGACTTCCTGAAATTTAGACACATCTTTCAGCCAATCAGAGCTGACTTGGAGTACATAATTTCTTGTTGCAGAAGAGTCCTGTGTTAACATCTCAGAGTCAAACATTCAGTATTTTAGTCCCTATATCACCACATGGAGCTTCTTCCGGCCTGATTTCTTCTCAAAAGGCTCAAGATGGTTTGAACCCAATGATGGTGGGTAGGAGAATGTTTTGGCCTCCTACATTAAGATGCCACACAGAGCCAGTCTCTGCTTCACAGCCCACAGCTGGAAATGAGGAGCTCTGTGTCAGTAGTGATTTTACTGCTAACACATGCACACATGCAGACCCTCATGGGAAGGTCCGGACCTTTTTTTTGCTCATGGACGGCCCAGAAAACCAGGTGGGGAAGCATCAGTAGGTTCAATTCAATTCAATTCAATTCAGTTTATTTATATAGCGCCAAATTCACAACACATGTCATCTCAAGGCACTTTACAGTTCAACCAGATCAAATTGATACAAAGTTTTCTATCTAAGGAAAACCAGTTGATTGCATTGACTCATTGACTCAAATACAATCCCCCAAACTAAGCATGCTTGTAGCGACAGTGGAGAGGAAAAACTCCCTTTTAACAGGAAGAAACCTCCAGCAGAACCAGGCTCAGTGTGAGCGGCCATCTGCCGAGGCCGACTGGGGTTCAAGGAGACAGAAGCAGAGATACAAAAAGCAGCTGTAAAAGGCGGCCCCGTCCAGGAAACACACAGCCAGGCAGACGAGCTCCGAGGCAGCTCCCATGCCAGAGGACGAAGAGAGCACATCCACTCAGTTCAGTGGTCTTGCCATGGATGAAGAAAGGAAGAGGGCTGTTTTATCAGTAATCTCTAACTCTGTGTCTGAGGAGGAGAAGCTGAGCTTGTGGCTCACAGAGGAATGTGTGCATGGTGTTTGTATTGTGTCTGCCGCAGTCCGCTTTACCACCAGAGGCTCCCTATATCTCCCTGACTCCTCTCCCTGTCATATTCTGGTTGTGAAGCGTCCCACAGCCGGCTCCACTGCTGAGCCATGTGCTTATAAGCCTCCATTATATTGTTAGGCCCATGCTTTTGTTCCAGAGACTATTTCTGGGAGCAGATCTGACCCTGTTGACCGTGTGTACAGTCTTCTTACTGTCCTAAAACTGTCCAAGTTACTCTGGAGCTGCAGCAGAATCACATCCAGGGTCAGATAAAGACCCTGTGCTCTACTTGGAATCTAGAGCAGACCTGATATCCTGATGAGAAGAAAAGTTTGATATTTTTTTGGGTTCAATCAAAAGGTTTGATTGTTTGACAGAGGAGAAGCTGGATTCTACCTAAGCACAGAAGAAGTACCAAGTGGTTCTGGGTCATAGAAGCTCTCATTTTAATTTGGAAGAGGCTGAATCAAACCTCCAACCTGATGACAGAACCACAGTCCTGGCAGGAACAGTATCTGCTGTGAAACCTCCTGGTTTGGGGTTTGGAACGAAAGTTTAGCTCCAAATAACCAGTCTCTAAGTCCAACTGGTTGAACAGAACTCGGAACAGAACCTGGAGTCAAACATTAGATGGAGGAAAGAAGAGTCATTACGATGTGGACTTCCACTACTGGTTCTTACTGGTGGCTTTATAGCCGTAAATAACCTGATGGAACCTAAATTCAGCCACCCAGAACCAGATAAAGAGGCACAGACTGGAGGTTCACTGGTTCAAGGCACTTCTATATCACAATATCTACAGGCCGCATACTGCAATCTGTTCTTGTTCTGCATAAATGAGACCAACAACAGATGTTCTGTAAGCATCTAGAGTTCTACAAGAAGATCGGTCTGACCCAATGAGACCTTAGAGTTTTTATTCTTGGACCAGTGAGGGACTTGAAGATGAGGTTCCCTTCAGGTGTCCCCTTGAAGTAGAAGGAAAAACAGCTGAGAGACCAACCCAGAAAGATCCATTCAGATGCATAGTTTTTTCTTCTTGGCTGTGGTCAACCAGCAGAACCAGAAAGACAGTTGGACTCAGAAAGGTTGGGAAACTCTCAAGGAAGCCCTGGTTGCTGTAGAAACAGGCCAAGGCCTTTGGGATAGTGTTAGGAGTCAGAATCAGGGGCTGAATGGAAATAATTTGTACCTGCTGCTAAAGATGAACGTAACAACAGAAGTTTGTTATCAATTCTTTAGCAGATGATTGTGGCTTTGGAGAAGACTTCCTGTTCTTCATCTAAAGAACCATAATTTCTATCTGTCCTGACATTGCAGATGGAGACAACCCTCAGAGGACACAGAATGGTCCTGAATTTCTCCCCAAACCCTTGTACCAGAGCGTTATCAAGACGGAGGGCTCCTCCATGGTGGGTGTGGCCATAGGGATGGACCCAGGGCTGCGTTCTGCGGTGGATGCCGCCTCTCTGGCTGAGGACTACGTGTCTCCACCCAAGTACAAGAGCAGCCTGCTGCACCGCTACCTGAACGACTCTCTGCGGCATGTGATGGTGGCCAATGCCGTCATGGATGCTCGCAAGAGGAACCACTCTGGCTCCTTTAGCTCCAACGAGTATGACGACGAGCTGCTGTCGCCATCCTCCTCTGAAGCCGAGGCCAACTTGGTTTATGGAGCCGGTAAGGAGATGCATTCCTGACATCTTGATTTACCTCCAAGGGTCTCTGTCCAACAAACTCCTCATCCTTCATATCTGATCTCTGTCTCCTCTTCTTTCTGTTGGTTATGTTTTCATTCCCGCAGTTAGTCCATTATTTCCAGCTGCCTGTCCCTCTGCATGATCTGTAATATCTCTCCTGCCGTCTCTGTCTTGTTCTCCTTCCATTTAATGGGTCCAGTTTGTAGCTGAATCAGGTTCTCCTGGTTGCAGAAATGGAGTGGCTGATCAATAGCTCCTTGAAATATTTTCTAAAGGTCAACAAGGTGCCACTGAGCAGCAGGAGAACCTGCTGGATCCAGGAGCTCCTGATGACAGTGAGCCTCTCCCAGATGGGCAGAAATGAGGACAATATGTCTCTCTTTTTATATTTTCATTGGAAAGAAGAAAGAACAGACAGAGAAAGTTTTGAGTTTAGCTCCAAGACTCACAGGTTTCAGGTCAGGCTTTAGGAAACAGTGGAGGTGCTGAAAGTGACTGAGTGAAGCAACTGGGTTAGAAAAATAAATCGGACTCTGAATTAAAGTAGAATCCAAAAGTTCAGTAAAATATTTTTTTCAGACCAAGTCCAGAAATAAAACATAAAGTCACAGAAACATGAATGAAGACTGAGGGATGGACACAGGGACAGTCGGGGTTTATCTGCAGCTTTTCAGGATTTTGTCTCCTTTGAGGCCTGGTCTTCACTAAGGACAAACAAACCTGTTGACCATTCAGGTTTCAGCTTTCTGTTTCATCACAGATCATCTGATGGAATGAGATACATACTTTTTCCCTTTTTCATCATTTTCATTTGTTCTTTCTTTGTTTTGTGATGACACACGGTTCACTGATTGTTTCTTCTGAGCAGTGACAGAGTCATCAGCAAACCTGTGTTTGATTAACTAAAGATCGAATCTACATCTACGTCTGTTTACTGCTGATGTTTCCTGTCCATCAGGTCATTTTACTGATTTCAACCAGAAATCACAGAGAACTGTGTAAATGTGCAGCTTTTCTCTGCTTGGCCATCTTTAGATATTTGATTGGAAGCAGAGTTGATGCAGTTTGGAGGTCGATTTTCATCCAGTCATCTAGTGTCAGCGACTGCTGCTCACTGGTTCCTTGTTTCCTTCAGCTCAGTTCTTCATGATGATGAAGGATCCTGATTTCCTTCAGCTGAAATCTTCCTCTGACTCTTTCCTTCACTCAATTTGTTTTCCTTTTTTAGTTTAGCATTTTCTATTTTTTTTCTATTGTTGCCCTGCTTCCATGATGTTTTCCAAACAGAGATTTCTTTTTTATAAATCATTCAACTTCGCTTTTAGTTTGATTGATTGATTGATTGATTGATTGATTGATCTCACGGTGGACAAATGTACTCATTTTATCGGCTTAGTTAAAAAGAAGAAAGTGCCAAAGGTAGAAAATCTGCATATATATATATATATATATATATATATATATATATTTATGTGTCATCCTCAAGCTCGGGTCCCCGCCTGGGAGTTTGAGGGTTCTGCGCAGTATCTTAGCTGTTCCTAGGACTGCGCTCTTCTGGACAGAGACCTCTGATGTTTTACCTGGAATCTCCTTTTGCCACTCTCCCAGTTTGGGGGTCACAGTCCCCAGTGCTCCAATTACCACTGGCTCCACTGCTACTCTTACTTTCCACATCTTTTCTAGCTCCTCTTTCAGCCCTTTGTATTTCTCAAGCTTCTCATGTTCTTTCTTCTTGATGTTGCTGTCGCTTGGGATTGCCACATCTATCACTACTGCCTTCTTCTGCTGTTTGTCGATCAACACGATGTCTGGTTGGTTAGCCATCACCTGTTTGTCAGTCTAGATCTTGAAGTCCCATAGGATCTTAGCTCGGTCATTCTCAACTACCTTAGGAGGTGTCTTCCATTTTGACCTTGGGACTTCCAGCCCATACTCATGGCAGATGTTCCTGTATACTATGACAGCTACCTGGTTGGGGTGTTCCATGTATGCACTTCCTGCCTGCATTTTACACCCTTCTGTTGTATGCTGTATGCTGTATGTATCCTGCCTGGTGTGGTAGACCCTGGCCTCTATTGATCTTGTACCGAGTGCCTGTTCTTGCGCTGTCGTGATTAGTGCTTCTGTGCTGTCCTTCAGTCCAGCCTTTTCCAGCCACTGGTAGGATTTTTTGATATCAGCCACTTCTTCTATTTGTCTGTGGTATACGCCGTGCAGCGGCTTGTCCCTCCATGATGGTTCTCCTTCCTCTTTCTTGTCCTCACTTTCGGTTTTCTCCTGCCTGAGGTATTCGCCAAGCCATTTGTCTTTGGGGGCCATCTTTTTGATGTACTCCTGGATCTTAGTTGTTTCGTCTTGGACAGTGGTCTTGACACTCACTAGCCCTCGGCCTCCCTCGCTACACTTCGTATACAGTCTCAGGGTGCTGGATTTGGTGTGAAACCCTCCATGCATTGTGAGGAGCTTTCTTGTCTTGATGTCAGTAGCCTCTATCTCCTCTTTTGGCCAGTTTATTATACCAGCGTGGAATCTGATGACTGGCAGGGCATATGTGTTGATGGCTTGGATCTTGTTTTTCCCATTCAGCCGACTTTTCAGTACCTGCCTTACTCTTGGTAGGTATTTGGCTGTGCCAAGGTATTTGTGACTGTCCTGAACATCTGTAATATGGCCTTCTGGTAGTTTAACCCTTCGGTTCTGATCATCTTCCCTCTCTTTGAGACCATGCGACCGCACTTGTCCAGTCTGAATGATATCCTAATGTCGTTGCTGTAGATCCTGGTAGTGTGGATCAGTGAGTCGATGTCTCGCTAACTCCTGGCATACAGCTTGAAGTCATCCATGTAGAGGAGGTGACTGATGATTGTTCAGCTTCGGAATTGGTATCCATAGCCAGTCTTTGTGATGATCTGGCTGAGGGGGTTCAGGCCTATGCACAACAGCAGTGGGGATTCTGCATCGCCTTGGTATATGCCCCACTTGATGGTGACTTGTGCAATTGGCTTTGCATCTGCTTCCAGACTTGTTTTCCACAACTTTATTGAGTTCTTGATAAAGGCTATTAGTGTCCTGTTGATCTTGTACATTTCCAAGCATTCCAGTATCCATTTATGTGGCATTGAGTCATAGGCTTTCTTATAGTCAATCCAGGCTGTGCACAGATTTGTCTGCCTGGTCTTACAGTCTCTAGTGATTGCTATATATATATATATATATATATATATGTATGATTGGTAAAGTCTTTTTTTTATCTGGATTATTATACAGGGTTATTGCACAGGATATTTACATGAGTACTTAGATGGGAATTTATTATTGCTCTGGGTATCAGATTGTTACAGGTAATTACATAGGGTATTAAAAAGTAATTAAAAAGTAATTGCACATTGTACATTGAACAAGTTATTACCGTTGTAGTGTCCCGTTGTGTAGTATGGAGGCAGCAGGGATGAAGGTTTTTTTTTTGCAAACGATGTAAAAGTCTTTTACTAAATGAGCTTCTCGGCTCCTCTACAGTCTGGTGCAGGGGGTGAAAGGTGTTGTTGATGATGAATGTTTAACATATGAAGGCCAACTCACTGGGAATAATCAGCATATTTTACTTGAATCCATGATGAAAAACATTCCTTTGTTTTCCTCTATTGGCTTAAACGGCAGCTATATTGTTGGAGTCATTTCCTGTTTGCTCTGCAAACTCTCTGTTTCACTGAGGCAAATTGAGGACAGCAGCAGACTGAGACGGTGTTGGTTCTGTCTGTGATGCTGTAGAGAAAATTTCCCAAACATCCACACAGACCCAGTTTAGACACAAGCAGCTCCCCAACATAGAACTGAAGGAGGGAGGAAGAAAAATCCTGATGGGTTTAAACGGTCGGCACGCCGAGGTTTTCTGGGACAATCCCACTCAAACACACCATCAGAAGTTAAGATGTGAGAAATACAGCTGCCTGCCTGCCCAGGGAAACTGAGTAACGCTGTCCATCTCTGTGGAAAACACAAACTGTTTCCATGAGAAAAGCCCAGCCGGCTGTAGAACAACGGACAGCCTTTGTGTTCGCACAGGATGGAGGAGAGAGGAGAGCTTTAATCAGAGAGTAGAGGGGTGACCCAGAACACACACAGAAGTCCACTAATAGTGTGAGAGGGCAGCTCAGCTCCCACTATCACCAACTGCAGCATCATGATGCATTAAAGGAATAGTACACCCAAAACATGATTAGCCTTCATTTTCTACTCACCCCCATGCTGAACAACACTCTGGAGTACTTTTTTGATATCTCAAATGCATCTGGAGATCTGGGAGGCTTCTTGCTGTCTAAACAAGACTGTCTAATCAACACTGAAGTCCTCAGATATTTTTCTTTCGTTGTTTCTTTCTTTGCACAGGTAAACAGCACATTTCTTCTTCTACGCTTGCATTATCGGCAGAGCAGACGCTGAATGCGCACTTTCATATGGTTTGGTCTGCCACGGTTTCTGTAGCGTCGTGAACTCGCAGGCGCGCGCTTTCAGGAAATCCTATACACTACTGTTTATGCTCTAAAAACATTCTAAATGACTTCGTTTCGAGTAAATTCTGGATGCTACCCACTCAGGACACTTGGAATACATTGGACGAGCAGTATGGAGGAATATTGACACGTTTTTTGTGGACTTTTATGGACCTTTCTGCCTCGTGCGCCATAGACCTCCATTATTTGAATGTCAGCAGACAGCAAGAAGCCTCCCAGATCTCCAGATGCATTTGAGATATCAAAAAAGTACTCCAGAGTGTTGTTCAGCATGGGGGTGAGTAGAAAATGAAGGCTAATCATGTTTTGGGTGTACTATTCCTTTAAGTGCTGGGTAAACATCTCATTTGGCCTCCATACCCCCAGAAAGGCAGCTTTAGTTTGCATGGAAACGGCTTCAGATGGGAAGAAGGTTTCCTGTTGGTTTCTGGTTGTTTCCTCCCTAATGTGAGCATTTAGTTCACCTAAAACAGGAGCGGATCCATTGACCAGCATCATTGCTGATTCTTGTCCTGAAGATAAATCATTTTTATCATTCATAGTTAAAAAATGTATTCATTGATTTTTTTTTGCATGAAGGAATGAAGGAAAAATATCGAAAGCTAGTTGTGCTGGATAGGCGGTGTGAGCATTTAGACTTTTTACCTCTAGTGTTTATGTCTTATCTACTCCACTGAGAAGAAATATTATAAGTCACAGCACTATTATATGTTAAGTCACAGTAGGTCAGATCTTTTTTTTCCATTTCTGCCTGTGTTTCTCTGTCCCACTGTGATTTTTATTGATTTAGCTACTGGACCAAAGTGAGCCGTAAACATTGCATGGATCAAAATCAAGTGGATCCAAGAGCACAGGAATTTTTCCCAAAGCTGAAGATATTTCATAACATCAGCAATATACTCAGCTGGGATTTGAACCTTAAGCAGTGAATACATTGGACACCTAACAGCGGGTAAGCGCAGCATAGCAGAATGTGCACGCTACGCGTGTCACAGCTTTTCATTTTAGAAAGTAAAATTATTTACACCGGGCGCTTAATGTGCTACTTCCACGCTCATATTACGCACTTAGATATGCAATTCTCCTCCTAATTTAGGATGAGTTTCTAATTTCAGAAGGTGTAATGCTCCAGTTCAGTCTAGGAAGAAACAGAAAAACAGCATCCGGTTTCATAATTCACTTCAGGTCAGAGTGCGTTTTCTACTTGGTGCTTTTTCTTCAAGATAACACTCAACGCCTACAGTTATTAATGACCAACCAACAGATTCTGGTAGATGTGACATGCTAACAAAATACATTTGATTTCACATCAGATTGATTTTTAGGTGATCATATGTTACTTATAAGTTCATAACTTTCTCACATAGTACTGTGTCATTCACTTGCTAATGTCACATAAGCTTGTCTTTGCTCAGAGTCCTTTTGCTAAACCTGTTGTTGATCGTTCTCTTCAACGTCTGATGTAAATTTCTGTTCAAACATACGCGCGTATGTCTCTTTGATGAGCTTACACACTGTTATGAGTCCAATGTATTTAATGCTTTAATTTGTAAAAATAGAATAAAGAAAATAAATCTGCTATTAGGGTTGTCACAAGTATCGATACTTAAAAAAGTATCGATACTGAAACGTTGTATCCGGAAACAATACTCAAAAATAATCAAAAGTATCGATACAGCCATTTAAAGTGCAGAATAGTGGAAAATGCACTTTCTGAACACTGTGTGATTGAATAATTCTGTGCATTTTTCAATTTTCAGACTTCTTTTTGTAACAGGTGCAGCTGCTGAGAATTATTTTTGTTTAACTGGTTTGGTCAGTGTCATTGTTATGTCTGCAAAACATAGCCAAGGAAGGAACACTTAATTTTAATTTTGTAAGTTTTTTTTATCAAGCTTGTTTAATATTGTGCACAACCTCAAAATATTATTCTTATTTTTTTTAATTCATTTCTTGTAATTTTTTAGTAATGAAAATATTTATGTTGAATTTTAGAGTCTTTGTTTTTTTTTCTTGTGGTATCGAAAAGGGTATCGAGTATCGAATATTTTACTTAGTATCAGTACCGAGTTGAAAAGTTTAGTATCTCGACAACACTATCTGCTATAACCATTTTTATGACGATTAATGCCTATTCCCTAGTAGAACACCATGATGTTTACACGACTCAATGCATGGTAATAGTGCATTGGTGCACATGTCAGTATCTATAGTGTTTGATGGGAGGATGTCCTACCCAGTAACATTCAGTGTACCCATGCTTTATTCCATGTGTTAAAGGAATAGTACACCCAAAACATGATTAGCCTTCATTTTCTACTCACCCCCATGCTGAACAACACTCTGGAGTACTTTTTTGATATCTCAAATGCATCTGGAGATCTGGGAGGCTTCTTGCTGTCTGCTGACATTCAAATAATGGAGGTCTATGGTGCCCGAGGCAGAAAGGTCCATAAAAGTCCACAAAAAACGTGTCAATATTCCTCCATACTGCTCGTCCAATGTATTCCAAGTTTCCTGAGTGGGTAGCATCCAGAATTTACTCGAAACAAAGTCATTTAGAATGTTTTTAGAGCATAAACAGTAGTGTATAGGATTTCCTGAAAGCGCGCACCTGCGCGTTCACGACGCTACGGAAGCCGGCAGACCAAACCAGATGAAAGTGCGCATTCAGCGTCTGCTCTTCCAATAATGCAAGCGTAGAAGAAGAAATGTGCTGTTTACCTGTGCAAAGAAAGAAACAATGAAAGAAAAATGTCTGAGGACTTCAGTGTTGAGGAAGAGCATGAGTTCTTTGCCGAGCTGAATGCGCTGGTTTGGTCTGCCGGCTTCCGTAGCGTCGGGATCGCGCATGTGCGCGCTTTCAGGAAATCCTATACACTACTGTTTATGCTCTAAAAACATTCTAAATGACTTTGTTTCGAGTAAATTCTGGATGCTACCCACTCAGGAAACTTGGAATACATTGGACGAGCAGTATGGAGGAATATTGAAACGTTTTTTGTGGACTTTTATGGACCTTTCTGTCTCGGGCGCCATAGACCTCCATTATTTGAATGTCAGCAGACAGCAAGAAGCCTCCCAGATCTCCAGATGCATTTGAGATATCAAAAAAGTACTCCAGAATGTTGTTCAGCATGGGGGTGAGTAGAAAATGAAGGCTAATCATGTTTTGGGTGTACTATTCCTTTAAGTGTGTGGCTGCAGAAGACTGTGTTAAAGATGACCACCTACAGGTCAGAAACTTTTAGATATTTCTCCGCTTTTAGCATCTTTAGCTCCTGCAGACTTCTTCAAAGCTCCCAAGGCCATAGCTAAATGTTTAGTGAACTTAAAGGGAGCGTCTGATCTGGAACAGCTAGAAGATCCAGATGCTCTGCTCTCTTTTAATGCCTCATGTAACTTCAAGCTTGTGTGATAAATTTCAGTGTTGAACAGATGTGAATGAAGAGTGTGAATAACATGCTGAAGGAAAGACTCTGGCTTCCTCCAAAACCACTCAGCCTTCATTGTTTGATGACTTTGCTTTGCTATACTAATGCTTCATAGATGAGATAGAGATCGGTCTTATTTCAGGGAAGGTGGGTGAAGAAGCCAGAAAATGTCAATCTCTCTTTTGCTAACTCATTCACTTGCTTTTCATTTTCTCTCTGATCTCTTTCATTCATGCTGGCGGATATACATTTCTTTTGCTATTAAATATTACACAGCTCTATCCTCTAAGTATCCTTTATATTTGAAGGCTTCTTGGTAAATGTCCTTTTTGTGTTCAGCCTGTTGAGTAAAGAGAAAAAACAGAGCAGCTCATGTTTGCTGAGGACACGTTGTCCACTGAGAGGACAGAACAGACGTCCAAAACCACCAAAGCAGACACACGGCATCTGCTGAACAAGCAGTTTCTGAAAGGTTGCAGTGGATCTCCTCTAACCCGGGGAACTCTGCCTACTGACCTTCTTCTGTCTCTTCTTTCAGAAACCACAGAGCATGGATCCAGGAAACGTGACCAGTGAGTAGACCTTCTATCAGCAGATAAACTGTGTCTAAACGTGAGCTGTAACGCTTTTTGTTTCTCTTCTTTCTCTGCCTGTTGACTTGTTCTGCCGGTCGTCAGCAGCAACGGTGGCGTCGCAGCTACGCAGGAGGAAAAGGCGAAGGCCAAAGATGTGACGCAGTGGAAGGAGATCAACGCCGTCATGGCCTTGACCAACTTGGCCCAGGGGAAGGACGGCGTCTCGGGAACAACCAGCTGCATCATCCAGAAGTCCTCTCATATCGCTGAAGTTAAGACGGTTAAAGTGCCATTTGTGACGAAGTTTTAGCTGTGACGCTACTAATCTATGCAAAGCAGTAAACATTCCTCTCTCAGTAAACTGAACAGAGACCAGAAAGCCTTCCTGGCATCAAACAACCGGTGTTGAAAGAGACTGGGCTGGTGGAGAAAAAGAAACATATTTTGGACTTTTATGAAATTCCTTTTCATAAAAACAAAACTTTATTAATGTTAACTTATTTTTATAAATCTCTTTTTTTAGTAAAGAAATAGTATTTTCCAAAGTGCCTTTTTCTTTTTCAGCAGCTCTGTTCTGCGACTGTGAGCAATGGAACATATGATTACAGAGATTAGTGCTGGAATGTTTTGTCGGGTGAGGGCTCTTAGTACAATTCAGGATCTGCTCCTTGTAACATTTTGTACCTTTGGGACGGAGTGAGCTCACTGACACTGCTAAACTCAAACAGCTTGCCTCTGAACGGATCCTTAGTGGAAGTGCCTCATGTTCTTATTTTGACTGGAGTTTCCATTTTGGCTGTAAACAGAACCCCCTTTTACCACCGTCAGACTGTGGCTACTGGCACGCGATCAGCGACTTCTGAATACGGAGATAAGCGAAAAGTTTTCTCCACCTCATCATCACATCCTGACCTTGTTCCATCAGCCGCTGAAGGATTCTGCTCTTATCAAGCTGCATAGCTCCTGAAATGTGCACAGCTGGTCAGCTGAACCTAAAGCCACTATCACCCACACGGCCCGGCGGATACATGCAGGGCCACTACTTCTGTAAATGACTGCTTTGACTCTAAAAGGGATGTTTTCACTTTACATTACAAGTCTGCAATGCAAATGATGTTAGCCTTTAACATGTCTGCACAGAATAATATTGTCTGGTATAAAGAAACAAACTGAAAGAAAAGCCAACCTTTGCTCCCTCTCTGCCTTTTGATCCACAGCCTCCCCAGATGTTCGGCATTACTTTCAAATTGCTGTTTACAAGAAGCCTGGGGATAGGCTTAAAAATCTAACGTTCTCCTCCAATGCCTATTTTTTCCACCCTGCACTTCATTACAGTATTATTTCTTTGTCAGCCAAGCAAGTGTTGAAAGCATTTGTTATGACTGCCTCTATGTGTCTTATTTTGTTCTTGAACAAACCGTCTCTGCTGAATGTGTTGCATTAAAATCCTCTCTGTAATCCAATGGAAAAAATCTCTTTTTGAGCAAAAAAAGTAATTTTTTTTCCTTTTGTAGCATATGTTTAACTGTATGTGGTGAGCTCTGCAAAGCTCATAGTCAGGAGGGAGAAGTCATAACCTCTGGAGAAACAGCAGTTGCACCTCTGAGCTGAATTTATTTAAGGTGCTAATTATGTGCCTGGAAATGGATGTTAATTGTATAGTTTTTATTTACAAAACTGACTTGTCATGGTCAAGGACTTTGGTGAAACAGCAAATCTCCACGTTTACTTGTTGTATGTCTGTTCAGTGTTTAACATGAAGTTCATGGTATAAAGGGGCGTTTAAACAAAACAGAGAAAAGTAACAGAAATGAACTTTGGTCATTTCTGTTAGTAGTTTGGAATAAGTCACACTTGCCAAACCTCAGGCTGTGTTTGTTTATGCACTCGGGACGTTGGCCTCCTCCTCCCCGCATGTGTTTTTCATCCGCCTGATCCAGGGCCGGGTAGCTGCGGAGAAGAATTGGATCCACACCTTTAGTTTTAGTTTGCAGCTCAGCACCTCTGGACCGCTCAACACCTCACATACTAGCTGCATGCTGGGAGGAGGCAAAGGGTAAGGAAAGGTCAGAGACGGCAAGTCTCTGACCCCCCCCCCCCCCCCCCCCCCCCCCACAGGAACATCATATGAACAAATGGGTTCTACAGCCTTGAGTTTGCTACTGTGACATTTTCCAGCACAAACTGCTTTTAAGCATGCAGAGAAACATATTGTTATGATGTATAAATTATTACCTTGACCGAGCAATGAAAGTCAATCATAACTTGTCTTTTATTGTTAATTTATATAAATGTATTTTTTATTTCTATTTTGATAATGACTGGATTTCCAATCCAATGACCAGAAGTACTGTTTATCTCCTTGTATTGTCTCATTTGCTACGATGTAAAAATGTATTTGATCAAATTTTTTACATGGCGATGACAATAAACATCTAAATGAAAAAAGATGCAGAATTGTCCTTCCCTTGCACTTACAGAATAATAATTCAAATGTTAAGATTTATTTACATTTACTACACAATAATTACCATTAACTTATTTAGCTAATTTTAAGACTTGTTAGATGATCTAGATCACATATGTCAAACTCAAGGCCCGCGGGCCAGATGTGGCCCGCCATGTCATTTTATGTGGCCCGCTAGAACTCCCACAGCCGTCATTTTGACGGTTCTGAGATTTTAAAGGGAAAAATTTTATTTATGTTGCTCATGTTGCTCCTGTTTCTATGTTTCCTTCATATTCACATAGTTTTTTTAAATAAAATTAAAACATAAAAAATAAATATGGGTTAATTCTACCTCGATCGCCCACAACCTTCATTTTGACGGCTCTATTAGTTGCATTGTAAATTCTTGGTTGATTGATGTTCGGTACCGTTACCAAGCAACCAACATTCTACCTAGAACTTTTTAGCTAATATGGAAAAAGTAGTCTACTATAACCACACACAGGTCGGGGTGGATGTTTTGGATCAGATGATTAGAAAGGACTCTGTAAAAGCTCCGACGCGAAGGTGACCTGTGGCTTTAATTTATAATCTTGTGGAAATATCAGCTATAAACGCTTGGTACTGTTCAGGAGCTGTTTGATTATATATTTTTTTTACGCAGAGATTTTATCCTTGAACTGGTGAAAAAGTTCCAGACAATCCGCAAGTTTCCAGCCCCTGTAGTAGAGCAGCCTTGGCGAGGCACAGAAAACAGCCGCAGGAGCTTCAGCAAAAAAACGCCCATATTACGTTTGCCATAAATGTGAAAAGATGGTCTGCGGGAAATGGTTGGGGATAATCGTTCAATTTATGTAAATAAAATTGAATGATTCTGTTGTTGTAATTATTTAATGTTTGCAGGTCTTATGTGTGTATGCATCAAACCATCAGTTGGATGCAAAGCTGTGTATGGCCTTTTTTTTGTAAAATGCTACATGTGTCATACATGTTTTTTGCAGCTCAGTTTTATGTTATATCTCTTTATTCACTTGGACAGTTTGATCCTTCATTAATGAAGTTATGTGGGTTTTCATAAGCTGACTAAATTTAAAAGGATTTATGTTAGAGCAACAAGCAAGCATATGTTTTCGCAACTGTAATTATCACTTGAATAAGCTATAAATAATAATGAGTTATTTAACATTAAGGAGTAGTTACATTTATTTTACATTACATTAAATTACATTTAGTTACATTTATAAGTTACAACTGGCCCTTAAAGGACAGCCATTACCCTGATGTGGCCCTCAGTGAAAATAAGTTTGACACCCCTGATCTAGATCATTTAGGGGAGTGGCGGCCTAGTGGTTAGGCCAATGTGCTTGGAATCCAGAGGTTCTGAGCTCAAGCTCCCTCCCACGGATTAACACTCCGGGTCCCTGAGCAAGACCCTTAACCCAACACTTCTCCCTGGGTGCTGCAAAATGGCAGCCCACTGCTCCCCATTAGAGGAGTAGCCATTCAAAATGTACCTGCTTTACTTGCTGGGTCCTTGGCTGGTCCCATACATTTCCCGTTTAAAACAATATTTGTACTAAAATACTCTTTCTGTCATGACTTGTGGACTTTAAAGGTATACTATGCAACTGGTGTTGATTTTCCAACCAGGCTCCCTCCAGAGGGCGAAAGTAAAAGTGCACTGTCGTAAATATGCTCAGCTGTTCTCCTGGTTTCTCCGTCAAGCCAGGCGCGGTTGTTTTGAGCTTAGCAGACAGGCGAACTCAACCAATCACCATGTCTACTGCAGTGAGTGACTATTTAGTTCCAGTTTTCGAGTTTGAATATTTAGCATGTTTCCGACACGGGCTTTCGCTGTTATCTCGCTGGTTCCGCCATGATAACTGCACAAATATCGCCACTACGAGCATGCTTTTAACTGGGGGCGTGTAGCAGTTCTCGCCGTAAAGCAAGACCGACTCTCGCGAGACTTCTGAGCCTGTGGGTGCGGGCCGAGGGCTCCTTGCAAGTGCGGTATTTCCCCCACAGACCACCAGGGCGGCCGAGAATACCTTTGTTCAACCTGAAATGACTCATTTAATCATCCAAAACGTTATGGAACACATTAATTAACTGAAAAATGTTCCATAATATGCCTTTAAGATCTAAAGAGAAGTGTCATCTCCTGGTCAACCCTGTAATTCAATGAAAGCGAGGAAAATATGCACGCCCAGGAAAAGGCCAGTGGCTGGAAGTTGGAGGGGATTTTCCTGAGAGCTGCAAGGAAGTGGGCTGTCATTCAGCTGGCATTTGACTGTAAAAGGCCATTTTCTTTATATATATATAAATATATACATATATACATATATATTAGGGCTGTCAAACGATTAACATTTTTAATCTAATTAATCACAAGGTTTCATGAATTAATTTCGATTAATCACTAGCCTGAATATTATTGAAAAATACAAATTTTCTGTGTATTCTTTTCTAAACAGAAGGATAAACAAGATGGTATTACATTTAGTTTTTATTAATGACAAATCCAAAAAAAGAATTTAATTCTCAACAATTTTGGCAACTTAGCCATTGCTTTTTTTTTTTTTTTTTTTTTAGCAAATACAGGATGATTTAATGGAACGTTTTTCATTTAAAACAAACAACTTGACTTTTAAACAATAACATGAGGTCATTTTACCTTTTATTTGTTTATCTTTTAGCCAGTTGTTAGGTAAACTAACTGCTTAACATTTTCTGAATGTAAAGCGGGCCGTTACTTAATGCCCTGCGTTCGGTGAGGGTGGTCTGACGCATGCCAGTCGTAACACCTGAAGTTTAAGCCCCAACAAATGAATGCCTGGCATTAAGATGATATCTAAGGCTCGAAGTGCTTCGGTGAAACGAAAAGTCCTTCTTGCAGTCTGAATAAACCAGAACAAGTTTATTTATTGTCCCGTCTTTGTTTTTTTTATATTCAAACTGTCCATCCAGCGGGCCAACGGGTTCTTCTGATTCCTCCATCTCGCTCATGTCGGACAATTGAATTGTGGGAATTGCGGGACTGTGTTAATGAGTTAAAAAAATATTGCGTTAATTCCAGAAATTAATCATCTCACGTTAGCGCGTTAATTTTGACAGCCCTAATATATATATATATATATAAACACACATTATTTGCTTAAAATGACCTAGTTTACAGCATAGTCTGAGGCCGTAAATGGACGCATTTTTATTTATTATATTTTATTTGTTTAGTTGCGTCAGATACAGGAGTGTGCCCTGCAACCAGAGGCTTCAGCTTTCAGTGTCATTGTGCCCTTTGGCAAGACACTTCACCTGCATTGTCTACTGATGGTGCTTGGACTAGTGGCACCAGTGTACAGCAGCCCCCTTTCTGTCAATGAGCCCCAGGGCAACTGTGGCTGCAATGTGCAGTAGCTCGCCACCATCATGGTGTGAGTGGATAGTTGAATGACTTAATAGTGTAAATCGCTTTGGTCAAGTGTTCTGTTTTGAAAAAGAGCTATAAAAGCTAAGGCCGTTTACCATTTTTAATGCTCATTCTTTTGTCGATTCAAGTTTTTTTCAGTTTCAGTTGTATCCAATAGCGAAACCAGAACAGCATTAAATTAATCAGATGTTTGTAACAAAAAAGGCGGAGCAGCCTTTGAAAGCTAAACACAATAATGACAAACCACTGTAGGAGACCAGTGCATACAGCAGCGATGTGCATCAACCCCAAACCACATATTACTGGATTTGATCTCAGCTAACTGATGCATATTTCTGCAGCATTTCATGGGAAAGGTGCCTGTTTCACTTTATTTAGATGAAATAGAATCCCAGAGAAAACGGGGACCATCTGCATTGCCTTGTACATCAGGGAATCCTAAGAAGAGTGGGTTATGCTCTTCCCATTCTTCCTTCTGAGTGCTACACCTGTGCTCATTGAACTGAAAGAAATAGGCAGAGTTAGGGAAATTAGCAAAAAATATAAATATAAAACAAAGCTAAAGAGTTGTTCTAAAGGCAATCTTCCCTAAACCT